TAGCATGAGGTAAAAGATTTAAAATACGTATTTCTCCGAATTATATTTTATGAAAAACTTTTTAAAAAATATATCGAAATGAATTAAACTTGTCAAAATAAATAAACTTGATTACATACTGTTTCGATACAAATTTCAAAAATTTAACAAATTTAATAATTTTAACAAAAAATAAACTTCTATGGAATAACAAGTGAAAATATAAATATATGTACGATGTAGACGTAAAAGTAGGTAGCACAGAAATATACTACTCGTATTCTAACAAAACTGATAATAATTCTTGCGGGTGCTTGAGCCCCGGAGCACCCGAGAAGTCGGCGCCTATGGACAAGGATGGTCTTCACGTCTTCACTATAGTCATCCTTGTCTATCGCACGGATTTCTTTACTTTACTTTCTCGCTCTCATGTAAAGGCAGATGGACCATGTGGATTTTCCAGCCCTGTATAGTTTACCAGTACAAACCAAAAGTCGGTTATTAAAGATAGAAAGTCGGTCCTTTTTTGATAGAAGTTTCAAGTCACAACAGATCTTGGATGTTTTTTAGTTCCAGAATCAAAAATTATATATTTCTGAGAATCGCAGAACACTCCCGACTATGGCCAACTATGATTTCCATTAAAAAAAATTATCTTCAAATCCAAAATTGTTACATTTCTTAAAAAACATATACGCCACTATGAGGTAGTGCTAATTTTCAAAAACGTACTCCGACTGTAGTCGCTACAGACGTCACTCAAAATATTCAAATATAGATTTTTCTGCTATAACTCCAAAACTTAATAAATTAATAATAATAATCATCTCTCCCCCTCATTCTAATCGCAAGGATTATTCCAGAAGTCGGAGAGTTGAGCGTGAGAGGGGACGACATATTATTATTCAGTAGGCCGCATGTGCACCCAGGAAGACTGACGTTGATAAGCCCTAATCACCATTCAGTGTAAGAACGAGGGAAATCTGGAAAACCTCATTAATTAGGGTGTTGCTCAAACGACGAGCGGTATTAATCTCTCACATTAATCCAAACTAACGTTCTTCATTGATTCAAGTACTGACGGACGCCTCGAACTAAAAGATTATATTTAAATAATCAAAATACTTTAGCATAACATCGAAAATGGGATGCACTGCACATGTTTAAACGATTTTCTTTCGTAGAAAATCTTCCAAATTATTATTAAAATAGAAAAATCGTTTCACAATGCTCTGAGGAATATCCTGCGACTCCATAGATCGCCATTGTCTTTCTCACGACTCGATTTGCATAGCAAGACACGTAAATGAGTAATTATTATTTCTCTGGTAGTCAGGAGAGATCTAATTTGAATGTTTTCAACATACCGCGCTATTGTTGCCTTCTGATTAGATACTCCCGCGATCTGTACAATAGAATAAATAACAAGTGATAAATATTCTATTGAAGACAGCTCCAATTTAGAAACGATCTCATCAGAAATAAAACTGATGATAAGCCTTTACACTTCTATTATTAACATTTAAATTGAATCCTAAATGTGTTTATATATTTTCCAAAGCGGTATAGTTTACGATGTAGATGCAATAGTTTACTTTTGCAAAAAAAATTAAAATTAAAAACTCAAATGTAAAATAAATATGTATGATTTTTTTTATAAAATTTGTTGAGAACCACTGATTTCACTATGGTATAAGTTATTTCATTCTGAATGGAAGATCAACTGCGCAGTTTTTATGTGAAACAGGATGATAAAAGTTAATAAGCAATATTTTTGGACGATATATTAAAAAAAAACTGTAGCCATTTATATCCGACAATAGTTTTCGGGAATACTAACTGTGTCCTGTTATTCACACATGGCTCATAAACTCGGTGTTAAAAATATTCACGTGATTTTCGATACGAACGTTGCGGTTTGTTGTAAACTTGACAGTGTTTTGGGAATAATTTCTGTACTAGTGTGACGTGTTTTATTTTATTAAAGGCATGTAACGAGCGTTCAAATAAAAACGTGGTCAAGTTGGTTTTGAAAATTTCGACGTAGGGCGTAGCGTATAGCAAATGAACTTAAACGTCATCTGTCAAAGCGCTATATCGCCGCTTTGTTATTGAAACTTACAGCTGCTATACAGCTCGTTGAGAAATGAGGTTAAGTTGGTCGCTATAAGCTACGCCCTACGTCCAATGTGTCAGAGCCAACTTCGACCACGTTTTTATTTGAACGCTCGTTATAAAATCTAAATACGTATTTTTCACATCAAATGATGACAAATTAATTTTAAATGTCTTTACTATGAAAATCAGTCTTGACTTTTGTTGTGTCTACCCACATGAACAGATTATAACAACTTTAGCTTAAAAGGCTGTCACTAAATGTATTTTGTAAATAACTGTTTCAATAATTATACAGGGATGGCCAGAAGTACGGAATAAAATTCATATCTATTGAATGAGTTAACTTTTTTTAAAACGCCGAAACACGTTACCTGATTTTGATTTTTTCCCATCATTCGGTTATATAATAATTAATTTTTCTTCAACCCCCTAACCCCCAGCTACCCCTACTTTTTTTCAAATGGAAACATGAAGCATTAGGGGGTTCGTTGAAAAGCTTATAGAAAACCAACTCCAGCCATACCAAATAAACAAGTTTTATTTTTTCAATAGCAAGGTTTTTAGGGTTGTATAAAATACCTACCCAAAATACACCTAAATAAAATAAAGAATTTGAAACTGTACCTGTCACTGCTAACGTAAAAATGATATATTTTTTATGTTGCGTTTTTTTGGTACCACTCACTTGCCAGGCTTTCTGGTTAATTTTTCGCTTTAGTTGTAAATTGGAGTTTGAAACGTTACTATTGTGTCAAAATCAAGTTATTTACTGAATTGCAATGGTATTGTCGGAAAGGCAACGCATCGAAATCTTGATATTGCTTGGATGTGGAGACAAAATAAGAAGTCAGGCTGAAGTGCGCGATTTATTTAATGCGAAATATCCCGAAAACCAAATCTCGCAAGGGACAGTTAGTAAAATATTTCACAAATTTGAGGAACACGGTACAGTACAGACTTTGCCCAAAACTGGACGGGCACGTGCTTTGAATGAAGAAAAGAAATTAGACATTGCATTAGAACTTGTTGAAAATCCTCATACTTCAACTGTTTCATTGGCCCGCAATCACGATGCTTCTCGAACTGCAATTCGAATGTTTCTGAAACAAGAGAAATACCACCCCTATAAGGTATGTCTTGTCCAAGAGCTTTTGGAAGACGATTATGATAGGCGATTACAATTTTGTGAGGAAATGATGAGACGGTGTGACGACAATAATGGTTTTCAACGAGACGTACTTTTTTCGGATGAAGCTACGTTTTATTTAAATGGAGTGGTTAACAGGCACAACTATCGCTTTTGGTCCCAGGAAAATCCACACTGGACATGCGAATCGCATACGCAGCATCCACAAAAAGTTAATGTATGGGCAGGTATCATCAACAACAGAATCTTGGGCCCATTCTTTTTTGAAGAAAATCTTACTGCCGCACGCTACCTGGATTTCCTAACATTTGACCTGATACCTGCTCTAGCTGTGATTTTCCCTCATGAAATTGATCCAGATATACCGAATGAAAGAATTTGGTTCCAACAAGATGGCGCTCCCCCACATTTTGGTATTGATGTTCGAAGATACTTAGATGAAATGTTTCCAAATCGCTGGATTGGTAGACGGGGTACAGTTGAATGGCCGCCAAGATCCCCCGACTTAACACCCCTGGATTATTTTCTTTGGGGATATTTGAAAGAAAGAGTCTACCAGGACAGACCGGATAATATTGAGAATTTAAAGAACAAGATTAGGGCGGAGATGCATAATTTACCAGCTGAAGTCATTCAGAATGCTGTGGACAGCTTTTACTATCGTCTTGGAGAATGCCAAATAGTGAATGGAGGACATTTTCAGCATTTGCGACATTGAGTTTATTTTTGTAAATTATCTAGTTGTTTCAATTTCTAAATGAAAAAAAACTTGTTATTGAAAAAATAAAACTTGTTTATTTGGTATGGCTGGATTCAGTTTTCTATAAGCTTTTCAACGAGCCCCCTCATGCCTTATGTTTCCATTTGAAAGTAGGGGTAGCTGGGGGTTAGGGGGTTGAAGAAAAATTAGTTATTATATAACCGAAAGATGGGAAAAAATCAAAATCAGTTAACGTGTTTCGGCGTTTTAAAAAAAATTAACTCATTCAAGATATATGAATTTTATTCCGTACTTCTGGCCATCCCTGTATAGTTTATTCGTTAAAATTATTTTTTGAATAATCTTTATAGATTTGCTTTTTAAATATGGCAATTTTAAACTTTATAATATTTAATTTGCAGAAATTAATTATGTAATCATTTAGGATTTACTTTATTACGAAGTTAAAGTTAGAGTCAATAAAGAGAAAAGATTTTAAACATCATTCCGAATAGATAACAACTCTATTTCATGATATGTAAAACTATTTTCAAGCATGGGGGATAGCGACCTACAAACAAAATATAGATTAACATACGCATTTTTAAATGCACCTTTCTTCTCTAGAAAACAACTGATAGGTTATTTGATTACAGTGAAACTTACTTAAGGAATGAATTTAAGTGAGGATTCATTTTCATTATTTTTAATTTTAAATGTCCCAAATTTCGATAATCTATTTAAATATTAAATAAATTATTAGATTACCTTTTAGGAATGTGTGTAAATACTGGCAATGCCCAAGATGAACATTATAGTTTCCAATATTGTATCTATCATTAATTATCCATAATTTTAACAGATACTTCTGAATTTAAGTTGAAGCTACAACCCTAAAATGTTTTTGAAGTTCCATTTTCTTTTGTTATTCATTGTAACAAAAAAGTTTTAAAATAACGGGTTTAAACTAATTAATGTCCCTATAGAGAGGCCCCAAAATAAAACCTTGAGGGACACCAAACAACCATCCCCATCGAGCAACCAACTTCCCCTTACCTTTCCGTCGGGCGGCTTCTCCCTGTTGGGGGAGGGTCTCGTGATGGATATCCTGGTGGTTGCCCTGCCCGGCACATTCCTCTGGAGCTTCTCGACGTTGTAGGTCTGCCTCCAGCCGAACAGCGACACTATCTTCTCGGCTACCTCGGTGCACTTGGGTCCGCCATTCAACGTATGGCAGGTATCGAACATCTCACAGGTCACATTTAGTTTGTTTGTCTTTCTTTCACCTCACGCTAATTTAGATATAATTACGGCGGAATGTGTCTTTATCGCATATGAACTAAGGTCGATGCACTAGGTCTACGAATTGTTATCGATATAGGAAAATATAGCCGTACCTGGGGCTTAGTTTGCGATTACAAGAGATGATTATTCGAAGGTATATCTTTGTGTATGATAAGATCCTAATAAAGAGAGAAATTTGTTTTTGAGCATTTGTAAACTTGCTATTAAAATTAATAAATTATACTGGGTGCCAATTTTTCGAGCTGCACCACGGAGAAAGTTATCTCAAGAGATACACTGTTGGTGAAATTGGCACAAAGTTAGCTGACGGATAACATAGATAGAAGAGAAATACTTTTTCGTTTTTGACAGACGATGTCGAATTGATGTTGGCAAATTGCTCACCACCCTGTAGAGCAGAGCTCACTGCGATTCGCGCCGAGGCCGCCAGCGTGACGAATATTTTTTTAATTATCGTTCTCTATCTCTTAATTATTTATGATCTATAAATTACAGACCTAATAAGTATCTAGAAGCGAAAAAAATTCCACGGTTATTACTCGCGCTAGGTATATTTGCATGAGAATCGAATTGTACGGTTACGGGGCCTTACTCGGTGTTGATTTAACGTTATTTAGCTGTATATATGTAATAATAAGCAATCGGTGGTGTCGATCACGCGTCGATTAGTTCCAAAGTCGGCGAAGCTACCGCACGAAAAAAAAATGCTATGGAGCGTATCGATGCCTTGAAATCGATAGCTCTGACAGATAAAAAAGAGAAAATCGCGATGACAAATGAATAATTTCAATAAATTGTTTTGATTGCTAGACGTTTTGTTGTTGAAGGTAATGGCCTGGAGGGGATCCTCAGGGTTCGGTATTGGACCCGCTAATCGTATCGAAATTGTGTATATTTTTCAAAATGACAAAAACTTGTCCGCAAAAAATAATTTCCACAGGATAATTACACTACCAAAATTGCTCCGCAATCACCACGATTGCCAACGACTGTTTCAAAATGAATACGAGATTTTTTTACATAAAAATCATTTTTTGTTTCTACACGAAGACATGAGGTCTTACAAGCATTTTAGTAGCGTCTCGGATATTGCCAAGTTAGTGGAGATCAATTTGAACAAATGCCGAATCAATTTTGAGCAAAAAAAATTAATAGGTACTTTTATTAATAATATTTTTTTAACAATAAAATTGCGATTTTAATTTCAAATTAGATATACAGTATCACGAAGAGGGCCCAGTACGATTATATCAAAAAGTAGTCAGAATTGAAATCTGAAAATTTGTATACAGGGGTTTATCAAAAAGATCTATTCAATGAAAATAGTGTCAACTTCCTCACACTTTCGGTTATACTATGTATATTTATGCATTTTTTAATTCTATGTCACATTCTAGACTATTTTCATATAAGGTACTATGGGACAAAATGTGACAGTTTTCAAGTTATTAATTTTCAAAAAAAAAAATGAGGGATGCAAGCAATTTTTGAAAATAGAATACCACAAGAATTGTCAACTTTGGGTATAGAGAACTATAGTATCATTTTAAAGTAAATTTAATTATGCATCCATTAATGTAATAATATTCAGAGTGTACCATTTGAAATATTTGAGTAAATTCAACTTCAACGTCACAATATTGGTCACATGTTCTTAAACACCCTGTACGAATTTTTGCACATTTGACATAAACTAGTTGAATCCCACTGCTTTTAAATTATCCATGCCAAATTTCATTAATAAATAAAGCTAAATGTCGGAGTTATGCTATTTTCAAAAATCACTAACATCCCTCAATTTTTTTCAAAAATTAAAAGTAACTGTCACATTTTGGCCAATAGTACCTTATATGAAATTAGTCTAGATTTTACCGTAGAATTAAAAAATACAAAAATATGCTGAGTGTTCTATTTGAAATAACAAAGTTGATGATGACTTCCGGTATAACCAGAAGTGCTAGAAAGTTGACACTATTATTACTGAATAGATTTTTTTAATAAACCCCTGTATACAAATTTTCAGATTTCAATTTTCACTACTTTTTGAGATAATCCCTCTTCGTGGTACACCTTGTATATGGCATGATATGGTACAAGAAATATAATTAGGACGTTACGTTGAATTCAAGAAGTTATGAAAAGTAATGATTTTCTTAAAAAAAAAGTTTGTGACATCTTTTTTTGGCCCACCCTGTATATATGAAATTTAAAATTTATAAAAATCTATATTGTAAAATTTGACACTACTACATCATTTCCATGAATTTCTTTACTTTAACATTACTTTGACAAGATCATATACATATCCAAGGCATGCTATGCTTTTTCCAAGGCATTTGGGAAATCATATTAGTGATTTCTTTATCAAAAATGTGATAACGTAGGTATTCCACAACAGGAAAATTTCAAATTTTATGATTATCTATATTTTCTACGAAACTACGAAATTGCTGAAATAGGAAAACATATATTAGTTTGGTTATCTAGAGAGTTTTGGAATTAAGTGATATTTGTTGAGATGAGAGTCTTGGAATTCGACACCTGAGACAGAAAGGCATTGGCGGCGTCCTTTGTATTTTCAGTGTAATTTCTTATTAAAATAAATCAATGGAGGTGAAAAATAAAGGAAAGGAATATTCTGAAATTAACGCGGAAAATTTCAAGGCACACCCCTGTGGCTGTAAATCGTTACAGTAGTTCCGATAATAGAACTTTACGGGCTTATTACACTATATGTATAATGGGTTGGAATAGATTTTAATTTGGTTCTATTGTTTAGATTTCAGTATACAGTGTGATGTATTTGAGAAGTACGAATGAAATAAATATATTATTATTGAATTTCTTACTAATGAAACCATGAGAAATTTTGTGGAAACTGTAAATGCCGTTTGGCGAAGAAATTTTGTCACCTACGCATTTTTCACATTGGTTTCCTAATCGAAAAATGGATTATAAACATTGCGCATTACTACAATTAACTGATTAGAAAGACAGATGTCTGTAATAAGGGAAGAAAATCCAACTCAAAAATTCAAGTGGATGTCCTCCCTTAGTCTTAAGAGTTGAGTTTCTTTTAGTTGGAAAATATTTTCATTTCAATGGCTTCAATGTATTTAAAGGAGAAAGATAAATACATCAAAATATGTAATTTACTGCTTTTTTTTGTTATCCCGCTTATTAAGCTTATACATTCAGGCATTCTTTTTGTCACTAAAACTAGGTATTGTACCACCTAATAATCAATATTAAATAAGTACTTACTATCTAAAAATCGCAATCCCCACAAGTCTGTTTTAAACGATTTCGGTAACTGCGAAAAACGCGGGATTGCCAGAAATTTTCTGTCAAAACCGCGAGATTGCGACCGATTTCTATGTGAATGCAAAGGATTGCCAACGATTTCCCGTAAAATGTTTCAGACAATTCTGATGTAGACACCAGGTACATCGTACTCAAGTTCTAGTACCGTGGAAGTGTCTTTTCATTAGCAGTAATTACCGTACTTTCGAAAATAACTGCACAGCTGAATTTTTCCCAGCACAGCCGCCGTGCTCCGTTCTCCCGATGAAGGTGATTAATTTGAAATCGGGTCGTGCGTGTCCATAAAACTAAAAGTACTGTTCACTGTGGTGCACCCGTAATATTGGAAGTCGGTATGCAGAGTCCGTTTAATATTCGTGTTGGTGTACAGTTACTGTAGTCCTGTAAATTGGCGCGGGTCCGGATCGCCTTAAGATTGTTGCTAATTGCGAACGGTTGTCGCAGTCAGTGGCTGGACGAGATACGATAATTCATTTTGGTCCTATTTGTTTATCAGCAGACGAAGGAACGCTCTGTATGTTAATGAACGAACGCAATGCGCCGAAACAGATTTTATCTAGGAACTTTATCAAAAATAAGTTATTTAACAAATGTTCTCAGTATATAATGTCATTTTATGACGTTACATTTAAAAATAACTTATTTTGAGGACTAGTGTTAAAAGGTTTGTACTACCGTTAAAATGTTTCTTTCCAATTTAAAACGACGGAATGTCATATGTCAAACATAATTATGCATTGTGTCAAAAAAGATTTCTTCTCTAAAAACATTTTTTTTAAAGAATTGCTCACATTGTCAGTGATATTTTATGACGTTAATTTTAAAGGTAATTTATTTTGCGCACTAATGCTAAAAATGTAACACTAATATTAAAAAAGTTCATTTGCGTTGGAAAATACAGAAATGCTCTAGGTATATACAGGGTCGGAAAGTCCCCATGGTTCATCGGCCGTTACGTGAGTGCGATAAAGTAAGTCATAGAAATCCGTGCGATAGAGAAAGATGGCTATAATGAAGGCGCCTAATAGTCACCGCCCATTTCGCCCTTCCACAAATAAGAAGTGGATCTTATTTGTGGAAGGGCGAAATGGGCGATGACTATTAGATGCCTTCATTATAGCCATCTTTTTCTATTGCACGGATTTCTGTGACTTTCTTTATCACTCTCACGTAACGGCCGATGAACCATGGGGACTTTCCGACCCTGTACACTGTGTCCCATAGTGATGGAACAAAATTCATATTTTTTTTCCAGTTGAAATTTAAAAAATCGTTGAAACATGTCAATTAGTAAATAGAAATTGTCACTTTTCTGCAATATTTTCTATTTTTTTTAAGCCATGTTTGACAGACCTATAACATTAACGACATTTTTTTTTAATAGGACGCTCTATATGTTATAGTATAAATAGATAGCCCTTCTAAAGACGATTTCAGCAATATAAAAATGTCAAAAATGGAGGAATTAAATGAAAACAATAATTTAGTACCTACTACTTTTTATTTTATTACAGCGACTGTTCAAAGTGGCCCCCATTAACCATTGCGCAATGACCAATTCGGTCTTCAAATTTATCAATTACATTTTGAATAACATTTGGTGTTATGTATCCAACTTCTTCTCTGATAAAATTTTTCAATCCTTCGATAGTATCTAGTCTGTTCACATACACTTTGTTTTTTAGATATCCCCACAAAAAAATCTAGTGGGGTTAAGTCAGTGGAGCGTGGTGGCTATTCAAACGGATCTCTTCTGCCTATCCATTGACTTGGTAAAACTTCATTAAGGTAATTTCTTACATCGAGCCGAAAATGTGGAGGAGCACCATCTTGT